TCCTTTTCTTTGTCCTTTATTTCCTTTGAGAGGTCTTCGAGTTGAGCCCATTTTTCTCTTCTGAACAACCGGACTTGACTTTAAGTTTGCCTCTTTTTTGTGATAATCTCCAGGAATGACGCTGATGCCACTTTGCTCAGGAGTTAAGTGGGTTTTTTCTGCTCCTTCAGTGGCTTCATGTTGCACTAGAAGATCAGAATCGGTCACAGCTGCAACATCTTCAGTATTTTCAGATACTTGCAATGTTTCCAATTTTGCATTAGCTAAAGTGTGGTTTTGAATCACATCTGACTCTGCAGTCACATTGCAGTCCACTGATCCTCCAATAACTTCAGCTTCTCTGACTAAAACCTTTACATCTTGGATGTTTTCTTCGGTTCCTTCTCCTTTACTGGTTGAGACTGTTTCTCCAACTACTGCTTCTATTTCAACATCTCCAGCATTATCCTGAGACTCTTCGTGACTTTGTGTGAGGGTTTGTGCTTCTGTGGTGTTACAGACACTCAATGCAGTGGATTCTTCAGACACTAAATCTGAACCATATGATGACTGAATGAGAGCAGATTCTTCAACAACAGCATCATACTTCACACATATTTCCATCTCCGGTTCTTCCGCTTCATCTAATGTACTTTCTAATGTTGATTCATCTGCACAGACTCCATCCTCCAAACTAATTATTTCTTTTAATACACTGATCATTTCTTTATTGTCAAGTTTTTCATTTGCATCATCAAATTCTCTTCCTTTTCTTTGTTCTTTGTTACCTTTGAGAGGTCTTCTTGTTGAGCCGATTTTTCGCCTTTGAACAGTTGGACTTGATTTTGAATCTGCCTTCTCTTTGTGAATACCATCAGAAATTAAACAGGCCTCACTTGAATCTTCCTTCTGAGGATTTTCAAATACTTTCAATGCTTTTGCATTTACATCAGAAGTTTGAATATCAGATTCAGTAATCATAGTATTCTCCACTGTATCTCCATGTGCTTCAACTTCTTTCACTAAAGCACCAATATCACGTATGTTCTCATATGTGTCCCCTACTTCACTGATTGAAGAGTCAATGTGTTGGCCCTCTGTTTGAATTTCCAGGTCTGTGTCTCCCCCTTGAGGCACTATTGCAACATCTCTAGCATTTCCCACTAAATTAAATGCTGAATAATCTAGAACACGGATAGCACTTTCATCAGGAACCGTGTATGTCTCTCCTGAATCTGATGTTGCATCCATCTTTTCACTTCCATCTGACAAATTCTCTGGTTTTGCTCTGAAGAGATTTCCTTCCTTTTCACATTCCTCATACACACTTCCACCAAAACCATGGTCGTCTCTATCACTAGGCCTTTGGGGTGGGAGAGATACATCTGTTGGCAAGTTTCTGAAAATTTCCTCAGACTTTGAGCCTACATCTTTAATTGCCATATTCACAGCCTCTCTATCATCTTTAACCTTCACATTTTCTGGCACGTTCCTAGCATCATCTCCTGGTGTCTCTATGCTCGTTTCCATATATTCTTCATTTCCAATTAATTCCATGTCTTGTGTTACATTGTGATCTATCACATCACCTTGTTCAGTCATTTCAAATGCTTCAGATCCTCTTTTATCATTCATAGATTCATTCTCGTCTGTTACATATAAAGCGAGTTCTTTGTCTTTTTCCGTAAAACACTTTAACTCAGTGTCATGTGTCACTGAAGCAACATCACAAACATTATATTCCTCTTTCAGCTCTGCCCCAGCATCACTCATCTCATGTGGTGAACTTATTGTTTTGGGTTCAGCGAAGTTAATATTAGAGATAGGCACATCCAAATTTGTACTGCCTCCCACTACAAGTTGACCTGTTGAATGTTCACAGATGTTATCTAGAGTAGCACTATCATCATGTTGGTTTACTGAAGGCAATTTCTCATCATATATTTTAAGTTCCTCTAATTGTGCATCCTGTCTTTGTGATACACCACTTGCTTGATGCTTTCTAAATAGTTCCTCTTTCTGGTTTAGAGACTCCTCCTTGGCTTCTTCAGAGTTTACATCTCTGCACTCGTAAGATGTGCTTATATCATTTTGAGTATCAGGAACATGCTGGCTGTTATCACTCACATGACATCCTGCTTCTTCTAAAACTTTATTTTGAACATCAGATTGTTCAGCACGTGAGCCAAACATCAAATCCAATTCCTCTCTGAGTACTGAAGGCCTCTGCTGGCTAGATGTTTCATGTAGGGGCTTTTCTTGATCAACAAGGGGAAAAGCAACTGATAGTTGGGTCATAGTTTCAGTTCCAGCGGAAATATCGGGATCTTTCACCTCTACTTTCTCAGCCAAGAGTGACTGATTTAAAACCAAGCCAATTTCTGCGTGGGATGACGGATCTCTTGCTACATCATCTTGCGTTTGCGCAATCACTTCTGACTTTGCTTCATCTGTGACTTCTTCTTTCATTTCATTCTCTGACATGCTTCTCAAATGTTCTTGCATACCTACATTTCTCCCAGCGAGAGGCCTGCGAACTGAACCCATCCTCCTTTTTTGACCGGAGTTGCTGGCTAAGGGGGCTTCTTGGTTAGTCTTTGGTTCATCAAACATGACTGAATCATCCTGCAACAACTTATTTGCTGCCAAGGAGACAGTGCTAGAATTGCATTTAGGTATCTGACAAACAGCTTCAGAACTTTCAGGTTGAAAACTGGAAGACTTTGTTCTATGAGGGAGCCATGTTGTTTTTCAGTGTTTAATGTGACCTGTTGAGTTACATAATCTTCAACAAACTCTTCTTCAAGTTTTCTGTCTACTTTAAAACCACCACCACCTTTCCGCGTTGATCTCATTTTCCTTTTTTGTTCTAACGGCTCAGTGTCTATGATTAGATCATTGTGACTTGCTGCATGTTGTGCACATTCAGATGCAGAGGTTTGTTGATCAGTGGTTGAGCTTGATGGATGACCAAAATGGGTCGTTTCTGTTGTTGTGTGGAATTCAGTTTGCCCATGCTGAGACTCTGCAATCAACCCATCGTCATCATCTTTCTCGATATTTCTGTTAAGACCTTTTGGACCTCGTCTGGATGAACCAAGTCTCTGGTTCTTCTTGGGTTTTCTGCCTGACATGGCTACCCATATCATGAGACAAACATTTGGGATGTAATTTTAAAGCATGTTTGACATTGTTTTTTTTTTACAAGAACATGATTAAAAAAAGAAACCAGAGAGCATTATTTATGAACCACATGTATATGACTCATACCAAATGTCATGCATGTGCTCTCAAATCAGTCATTTGCTTGTGGTTTTCCATAATGAAAACCAGAGCACACTAACAAGATGTTTTATATGCTAACATATTAGACTGTAATAAGCTTAAGTGTTTTACTGTCAATCTAAAAAATGCCACAAACATTTCATCACATTTGTCGTCGCCATCAACACTCCAACCATCATTTTGTTTTTGTCATACAGACTGTTCTGGCATCCACTTATTACAATACATCTTACAACCTAAATGAGCAATGAAATACTTTTCTTTAGTCTGTCTTCTACAGTGAAACACTGCTCCATTACTTGTAATGTTAATATAAGCAATATAAAGACAAACATACAAATATTGTATGTTTTGCAAATCACAGAGTGTAAATGTAAGACATCCCTCTTAAATCTGTTGATGCTACAAAAGTACCAATAACTGACATTACCTTCCGATGACCTCTCAAGAATCCATCCAATTTGACAGTCTCATGGGTTTTAGTAAAGTACGGGACACGCTTCAATGCTTTTGTGTTTCTCTTTTGAAGGAGGCTAAGCTCATGAAGCTTCCTTTATGCTGCTACCCTCAACTTCCTGTACTGTTGACATAAATTGCATTGTAAGGCAAGTGTGAACTTTTGAGTTTATATTTTTGACAAGTTGCTGATCGTTCTTCCTGTGTAAGCGAATGAGACATTTGTTGCAGTGTAATATTTTGACTGCAGTTCAAGTGCTTGTTTTAATCCTCCTTAATACTTTTAAATCCTGCTTTAATTTAAAAACACACAACCGTGTTGAAAATGATTGCACTGCTGGGTTTTCAATGCAGATCACAATCAAAAACTTACAATACAATTTAATACAAAATATAGATTTTACAATGCCTTTGCCAGTTAAAGAACACAAGTAAAGATTAGTTTGCCATTATTAAATCACTGAAAACAATTACTTTGTATAACTAGCACTTCTTGTGTGTCTTACCTTTTCTTGCTGAATGCCTCAACTGTAAACCACTTAGGACAAAATCATCTGCTAAACGACTAGCTTAAATAGAATGTCAATAATTTAATTTTTTTAATTCATATTTGTTACTGAAGTAGAAACTATAACATGCTGGTAAGAAAGACTGAAGGCTACATGCAGAAATGACCTGGATAAACACATGCTGTAAGTCTATAATAAATAATGCAACAATTATGTTAACCAATTAAACCAGTGGTTCCCAAGCTTTGGGTCAAAAAAAAAAAAAAATTGGATCCAAAAATCTAATTTATTGTTTAACTTTTAGAAATACATTATTTTATCCATAACCAACAGAAGAAAATAGCTGCGTTAAAAAACTATGCAAAAAAAAGCCATCAACCTTCCGATTTTTTTTGTAACCCCTTGGGTGAATGTTATATTAAAGACACAGCACATTGATTTTATGGCACCAGGTTAAACTTTGACACCTTTACAGCACTCACATACAGTAAAAAATAAATACAGAAAAACTGAACATAAAGGATGGTCTTCAAGTGGTGTTCTTTAAATGATGAATAGACTTGGCCTATTGGTATGTGTGCGCCATTGTGTTTATACATTTAGAACCACCTCGGAGGATATTGGGGGTTGCGAGTCACTGCATTCATTTTGGTGGTCACGTACTGAAAAGCGTGGATCCCCTGAATTAAACCATACGGTAAAGGGTAATCAAACTTTAATGCAATAACACCCAAACAGTGTGAGGTGTAGAGGAAAGAGTAACCACAGTAAATTCGTAAGGAACATTTTAATGGAAGTACAAACAAAAAAAGCATACAAAATCGTCTTCAAATGATCCCCTAGATCAGACCATTCAGAACACTTCTCTGCCCAAAGAGCATAAAATTACATTCCAAGCATTGAGGCAGGATGAAACCATTACTACCCATTAAGCACAGATATCTTAAGTAAAAAAAAGATACTTAGAACACTATGGGGGGGAAAAACATTTTAAAAGACTTTTGGGGGGCCAAAAAAAAAAAAAAAAAAACTCCATCGTTGTTTCCCATCATCCTAGTCTGTTAGAGAGCAGGCACAGACACACTTTTTCTGACAATGCTGGGCTTGAAGACTTCACTTCCGACCATTGGATCGCGAACGACTGAGGAGATGAGAAAATGTTCTGTGAACAGATCTGTAAATAATTCAGCTATGCTATTACACTACTTGGAAGTGGAAACCAACCTGCGTGATCCTGAGAAAGACCTTGAAGGTTTATAGTTTCTATCTCGAGACAAAGACCTCTCTCTTCTCCTCTCTCTGGAAAGGGACCTATAAAAACCAAGTAAATACAAGTGAAAGTGTGTTAGTCATAAGATGAAACGAGAAGAGGGCAAATTAAGAACAGCCATAAATAAAGTCAGAAAAACTACTTATGGTGTTGACAAAACCTGTGAAGCCCAAAGTATACTTGGTTTCATTTTTAATGCCTATGCAAGTGTCTGCTATATGGTGGACTAATTTCACCAAAATATTGTGGATAACCTGGTTTTTGCAATTGCAAATAGTTTACTCTTGTAAATGCGCAGACATTTATTTTCAAAATCATGTTGGCTCAATCCCAATTCTATTTTTGCACTCCTTGCCCTAGGCCCTTGAAACAGTGTGAAGCGAAAGGGCTTCAAAATTTACCCATAAGAAATGGATCGAAGAAAGTAAAAGTCATTGCAAGAAGAAAGTTAACGCAATCTTGTTTCATATGAGACTGACAATTACGACTGCTGTAGTTATTCCAGTTGCGTTATTTTTTTTTAGTATTTATCTTCAGGAAGTCACTGAAGGCAACAATATCATGTTATAACAATACGTGGCAATAAGCTCATAATTGTACTGTGCATTTACACCATGGCCATATTTATCTGTGTACACGCACAAACACAACATAAACATAACAGCAGACACTGTAAAAAGGTCATTCCCAGCCACCAGACCTTTCTGACAGGGTTTTCGAGTGTCCGATGGTAAAGTATGTTGTGAGACTACTATATAGGAGCTATTATTATCAAGCAAAATTTTGCGGTTTTTATTGTAGCATGTTTTTTTTTACACTAATGCAGTTATGAATGTATTAAAACATATGCTTGTTTGCTGTAAAAATTCAGAATAATGACAATACTAATTTGTTCATCTCCTTTTTTCTGTGTGCAGCCATGCTGTCATTGTAGCTGGCATATTCTGGGAAATGTTCATACCCCTAGGTTTGGAGTATAGTCCTAAAAAAACTCAGTTTCAAGGGCTATCTAGCCCTTTCCCTTAGCCTTTAACCTTCAAGCTAAAGAGAATTGGGACACCCCTACCCCTATAAGTGAATGCGCAAAATGAGGGGTAAGGAAAAGGGCTGAGTGGTAGAATTGGGATTGGGTCTTTAACATTGTGAGTGTATGTGTGCATTTAATACATTTTTGAGGGCTATATGATTTTCTATGCGTGTATGCCGACACGACTTTAAACAAAAAAAAAAACAAAAAAAAAAAACAAAAACAAAGTATATTTGGGCTTTACCAAAAAATAGATAAGCAACTCACCTGCTCCGACTACGGCTAAAGCTCCTCCTGGGAGACCTAGATGTACATTTAAGAAATACTGACAAGTCAGGGGTCAATACTGTCAAATACTTGACACATGCAGCGCCACGCAATGACAAAACTCATTTTCTGAACAAAAACCTGTTATTCAATCACGGTCTTTAAGCCCAATATGGGCACAGCAATTTTTAAATCTATCCGAGCTGGCTCTTCTCAATCTGCCATAATTTGCCAAGCCTTTGATCAACAATGTTCAGTATGAATACTACTGTAACGCAGAGGGCTGTTCAAAAATTATTAGTTAAAAAATCCCTCTGAATACTGTAAAATACATGTACATCACGAAAAAAGTTGTACCTCAAAACCACCAAATAAATCAAATTCAATGTCATTAAGCGGAGGAAAAGGCGTTAACTTACTAACAAGCTAGTTATGATGCAGTGAAGCTGAGTGCTGGTCAGGAGGGCGAAATTTGCGGGGAGATTTTGCCAGATGGTTGCTAGATGTTAACTGCTATACAGTAGGTGGCTGAAGATGTCAGTTAGATGAGGACTGCTGAGGGTATGTTGTCATGTAGACATTTGGGGAGGGGGCATAAGACCCGTCGATTGGTTGTAAATGTGGCGTGGTTGGTTTTGCCGATCAGGTTAACGTTGGAGGAGGTGAAGGAGCCTGAGAGAGAGGCATGCTCAGGAACCAATGGGCTGGTGGCCATGCTTGAATCATGTGAGCTGATTGGTGTACGCTGGTCACATGATGCTGAAAGAGGGCTAGTTGACTGACTCAGAGGTAGATGAGTAGAGGCTTGGTGATGTCTCTGAAAGGGGGGGTGGGGTGGTCAGCTTCATTAATATAAATAGAAAAATTACAGAAAAGCCAAACAATAAGACTCTTTGGAAACCTGTGACTACAACTCAACTTAATGAATATTCCTGACCAAAAACTCAATGTGCTCATTTAGAATAGAGAACATCAGTGGGGGCAAATGAAGCATTGGTTTACCAATACAAATGCTGATTACTCATCAGGGCAAGTACAAATAAATTTTTTTTTGGAAATTTGGCCAATTTATGAATAAAAAATTAGGGCTGTCAGTCTCATTCTGCCCATAACTGAGCTTGTGGTGATAGGGGATAATGACCAAAACATCTAGACATCTGAAAAAAGAAGAAACTGTACCGGTGTCTTGCAGGTGGGCTGCTGCGGCGTCTATAATCATCACCACGTCTATAATCGTCTCGTGGCCGGCGACTCCATGAAGGAGGTGGCCCTCGAAACCTTGAACGTTTCTCACCATTGGACATTTCAACTCGGACCCGACAACCGCACAGTGTTCTGAAAGCAGACAAACACAGGATAATAAAAACACTTTGCATGCAGTCCAATCACCCAGTAAACAAGCTATTCTATTGTGATGCATATAAACTGCCATTTTGGTTATTTTAGTATTTAGTTTATTTATTTGTGAGATTTTAATAATTTTCATGTAAAAGCTTTTGTTGTTTATTGCTCTTTCCAATATTAATAAAATATATCAAGGTTAAAAAAAAAATCTGCATATTAATTGGTTTGGATTTGCTCAAATGCTGTCATATCAAATGCCATTTACTATTTTAGCTAGTTTATTATTGTAAGGCTCTTTTATTTTAGGTTCTTTAAGCCAAATTTAGGTTTATATTTTTCTTTTTGAAATCTACTATTATGGTAAAAAGACATTTCAATAAGAATGTTAAAAATTCACAAAACTTAACAAAACTTTATTAAGCTATTGATAAATTGGTGGATTATTGGATAAGCCCATGAATAATGCAAAAGAGACTGGTCTGTTAAAGGGACAGTTCACCCAAAAACGAAAATTTACTTACCCACAAATGGTTCCACACTTTAAGTTTCTATATTCTGTTGAACACTAAACATGAATTTATTTTTTTAAAAGCTGAAAACCTGTAACCATTGCATTCCATAGTAGGAAAAACAAATAATATGAGAGTCAATTAGGCATGGGCTGATATAAGATGCTGACGATATTGATTACCTAGAATAAATTTATCTCAGTTTCACGGTATTGTGCTTACTGCTCTAAAATACTTGTCCCTATTAAATGTTCGGGTAAAAAAAAAACAAACAAAAAGTTTTCCCCCTTTAAACACAATTTATATTATTTTAAGAAAAAAAAACAAAAAAAATTGGAGCAGTAAACATGTCGGGCTAAATAATACAAATAAATCATTGATTTCTGCTTTTTTCAAACACATATCTCTTTACAACTTAAAAAAAAACAAATGTATCTTTTCTGCTAAAGACATTGTCCTAAAAAAATTAATGCATATACTGTAGGATCGGTATAGCAAAACAATTGGCAGCCTTAAAACCTTGACTTTTACTAGCTGTGGTATACCTTGAAACGGTTATCGTGCCATGTCAAGAGTCAATAGTTACAGGTTTTCAGCTTTCTTAAAAATATATTTTGAGCGCAACAGAGGAAACTCAAACAAGTTAGAAACAGTTTGGATTGAGCAAAGAGTAAGTCAATTACAGAATTTTCATTTTATTGTATACTATCCCCTTAAGCCTCTGATTAATCAGGACATTTTAATCAGCTGGACAATGCAATATCAGAGGACTTTCTTCCTGAATTTAGAGAATGTTTTACCTTCCATCTAGCTCCCTCACAGCATCAGTTGCATCTCTTGGGTCTTCAAACTCCACAAAAGCAAAGCCGGGAGGATTTCTGGCCACCCATACGCTCCTCAGTGGACCATAATAGCCAAACGCTCTCTCAAGTTCAGTCTTATTACCACTGTTGCCTAAATTTCCAACATAGACCTTACAGTCTAGCGGGCAGTCCCGGGTTAGGGAAGGATCTATAGAAGGGGAAAAACGGTTCAGATGTAAAATTATTTACAATGTCCTTTATTAAAGGCTTCTTATGTTCACCCAACTCATCTAAAACGGATAAAATAACAACATTTAGGGTGGATGTTAAAAGAAAATAGGATAAAGCCTTACCCCCCATGTCTTCAATTCCAATCTCAACTGAACACCTAAAAAGCAGCAAAACAAACAAACAAAAAAAAAAACATATACATTAAGTATTCAATTTAAATGAATGGTTATAGTTGTGTTACTTTTAAAACATTCATTTCGTAGCACAAACAAACATACTAAAGAGAATGAAATTATTTCTTGAAACAATGAGAACACTAACGCTAGCATTAGCATGCAACGCTGAATTACCCAGTGGAGTTAAGCAAATTGAACACGATTTTAGACCATATGAACATTGATCGATAGGTAAACAGTTTGAAGTATACAAATACTTTCCATTTTAAAGTGTAAATGCTCTGAATACTGGTAGATTTGTTACGCGCTACGTGCACATACCAAGCTAACAGGCTAACGTTAGCATTTGTAGGCCTGAACGCGACAGACACGCAAAAACAGCGCATCAAACCGATTTAAATGAACAAATCAGACTGCATTATTGTTTGTTCTCAAATCACACACCTATTCAACATGAGTAAATAATGATGTTTTTTCAACTTACCGGTATATATGATTTGTATGTTTTAGCGAAATGGAAAACGCACCTAACACCTCGTTGCTTTCGCGCTAATACAGACCACGGGTTCTCGCGAGCAAATGTAAATAAAAAGCACTTCCGGTTATCTTCGAGATAAGCTCCGAAATACATCGGAAGTACGCCAAATGTAAGCTTTAAAAAGTGTTCATACACGGCTAACACAGCAACGTTTAAATTTAAACGGATAAGTTTAATGGTTAAATTACAACGTTGACGTAATAATAAAATATGAAAGAGATGACGACATTACTTCTATCTGTTGTACGTTTCCAGGTCTTCTCAACATTGTTTTTACGAATTTTGATATACTTATATATATATATATATATATATATATATATATATATATATATATATATATATATATATATATATATATATATATATATATATATCAAGACAAGAGAACTAGTATTCAGTGATATTCTACATACATGCAGAAATATTTCATTAATGTATGTTAAAACCACTTAAAAATCACCCCTTATGTTAAGTGACACTTGGAAATTATAGGTGAAATGAAATATACATTTACATACATATATACATACAAATGCATATGCTTAGGTTTAGACAAAACATTTTTTATTGATTAATTGCATATATATATTTTTTTAAAAATATTATCTGTAACTTTTTGGATTAGCAAAGTGGGGTCATAGGAGTGTCAGATTTATTTAAGCTAAATCTTGGGGGCAATAGTTCAGTCTTGTTTTGAATTAAGCAAACACCGGTGGAGTTATGTAACAGCCTTGTATTCAAATAAAGAGCATTACGCTGGCTGACTTTATTTTTGTCTCACTGGGAAGGTTGGTGAGTATGCATGTATGTTCTCACGCATCTATCTGCACTCCTCTGGGGTTGTTCCATTTATTTTGACTGCTGTTTTCTTGGGCAACTTCTAAACAAATGAGCATCCCTTGGAGAAAGTAATATGTATTTCCTCATTCTTATATTCCGTGTGTATTTCTATGCAAGACAATGTGAATTTGTGAGTTACCACACACGGCACAGAATGTTTTTTTTCCGCCCAGATTAGTACTGCACATTCTGTTCTGTTTTGCTTCCTGATGACTGGTTTGCCTCCCATGAACCCGCCCTCTCACTCTCCATAAAAGCAACATATACATGAGCACTGAAGCACACACACTCTGTGGTTTGAATGGCTTTGTCTAAATGGTGATAAGCTACTTAGAGTCACGTACACACAATAAAATGACACAGATAATTGAATCCAAATTACAAGGATTTAATGTAAATTTTAATACTCACAAGGTCAAACATCTTACAGTAAGAACATACATTTGTAGTAAAATCATTTAAAAAGTATTTACAGGTTTTTTGGGGGACAAGAAAAATGTCAGTTTGAAGTATATTACTGGTCTAGTCTGAAATGTGGTTGGTGACAAGATGTATATATCAGGCTTTTGTAAATGTTCTTTTAAGATTATTGCAAAATACCATTAGCTAACAGTAATGGGCGGTCACATTTTAGATTGAATTATGCAACTGTTCTACTACCTGAAAGATTACCGGAAGGTGTTCTGAGATGTCACACTTGTACTGTATACAGTATGTGACAGCCGTAGGCTCTGTAAAAGAGAACAAATGATAATTATAACAATCTGAAGTCATTACTTGTCAAGCCAGTCACATGACTTTGGGATGCTTTTTGTCAGTAGTATTCCTCTCATGCATTCATGGAATACTCAGATGACCCAATACCTTAAACTCCGCTGTCACAAATACGCAAGTGCAAAATAACTTTATTTTTGAACCTACAGCATGTAAAATCAGCATGTAGATCAGTAATTAAGTTACTTGTAATACAATTAACTGACACAAGAAAAACATATTGAACACATGAAGGGAGGTGTAAAAGGCATGGAAAGCCCAGACAGCATCTGAAATCTCTCGTAAGTTAAAAGCAATCCTGTCCTTCATCAGCAAAATGAATATTATCTGCTTCAGTCCCAACACCTATGTTACCAGGAGGATGGGGATGAAACTAGGGTGGATATTTCAGCAAGTCAATGACACAGCCAAAGAAACTCTTAAATTGGTTTCGGAAAACAAAATAAAGCCGCTAGAATGGTAAATACAATCACCTGATTTAAATCCAATAGAAATTAAGGGCTAAATATCACAGTAAATAGACAAGACCCACAGAACAATCAAGATTTGTAAATTCTGTTGAAGTCTGAAGAAAAAATCTCAATGCATGTGTGACGCCACCGATCCTACATCACCCAACCCGCTCCGAGCTGGGATCAAATCGGCAACATCTCACATGGAAGTCGGTTGCTCTAACAAGGAGGCTAAAGACCATGGCCTCTAGCATCTGACACTAGAGCACATTTTAGAGGTTGGAGAAGTGAGGTTTACCTGCACAGCACATCACTAGCTGGCCTCTGTTACAATCACCCCCCTAAACCTCACTCCCCTCCAGGTCACGGCACCAATGTAAACCCACCGGTCCTGCACCACCTAACCCGCTCCAAGCTGAAATCGAACTGGCGACCTTTCACATGGGAGTCGGTTGCTCTAACATGGAGGATAAAGACCATCGCTTCTAGTGTCTGTTGCTAGAGCACCTAGAGGTCAGAGGAGTGAGGTTTACACATGCAATTATTCTCCATCAAGAGGCACTTTAAGTTATCATTACCAAAAAAAAAAAAAAAAAAGACCTATGTACAATGTATTAACTACATTTTAGTAATCCAGTCTCCTTGTGTCTCCCTTAGAAACATTTACCAGGAACATTTTAATACCTACCCAAAGTATGTCAAAAATGTCTAATCACTTTTGACCTACATTATTTTAAAGTAAACAGAAAACATTAAAACATTTCTGGGTATAATTTGCATTGTGATTTGTGGAAAGAAGCGTCCTCCCACCTTTCCCAATAGTGCTGGTTCCATAAGTGTTTTAGGAAGCAAGGTCTGTCTCAGGTGTGTCTCAAAAATCCTGAAAATTGATAATAAATCATTTCAATTGCCCCCTGGTGGCTGGTTGATCTACAGACCACAAAATCCACCCTCTCCATGCAGAAAAATGGAATTAGTCAATTGCACAAAGAATAAATATTTACCTAAAACTGATGTACTAGTATTAATTTTCTAAAATGTGTCACAATTGTGTGATTATGATCGAGTCTGTGGAACTTAGCTGGATTTTCATTCCCCGGCTAGAGTTAATGATCATTAGACCTACAAGCACACATTCTGTCTCAAAATTACATCATCGTCACCTTCCAAAAGATAACACTGGTCATATCTGCTTCACATTTATACAGCTGAAGGATGTAGAGGGCTATACTAATAACATTTTTAACAAATGGATACTTGTATCACTCACTTTCCGTTGGCTTTGTCTCTGTTTCATCAGGGGTCGCTAAAGCAGAATAACCTGCTTTAAGCTATAGTCACTGGACACTTTTTTAGGTACACCATTCCAACTGCTTGTTAACGCAAATTTCTAATCAGCCAATCACATGGCAGCAACTCAATGCATTTAGGCATGTAGACGTGGTCAAGACGATTTGCTGCAGTTCAAACCGAGCCTCAGAATCGGAAAGAAAGGTGATTTAAGTCACTTTGAAAGTGGCATGGTTGTTGGTGCCAAACAGGCTGGTCTGAGCATTTTAGAAACTGCTGATCTACTGGGATTTTCACGCACAACCATCTCTAGAACTTACAGAGAATGGTCTGAAAAAGATAAAATATCCAGAAAGCGGCAGTTCTGTGGGTGCAAATGCCTTGTTGATGCCAGAGGTCAGAGGAGAATGGCCAGACTTGTTTGAGCTTACTCAAATAACCAATCATTACGACCGAACCGAGGTATGCAGAAGAGCATCTCTGAATGCACAACACGTCGAACCTTGAGGCGGATTGGACAATAGAAGATTGGAAAAACGTTGCCTGGTCTGATGAGACTCGATTTCTGCTGCAGCATTCGGATGGTAGGGTCAGAATTTGGCATCAACAACATGAAAGCATGGATCCATCCTGCCTTGTATCTACGCTTCAGGCTGGTGTTGGTGGTGTAATGCTGTGGGGGATATTTTCCTGGCACACTTTGGGTCCATTAGTACCAGTTGAGCATCATGTCAACGCCACAGCCTACCTGACGAGTTCTGAAGGCAAAAGGACGTCCAACCCAGTATTAGTAAGTTGTACCTAATAAAGTGGCCGGTGAGTGTATTATTACAGGGAAAAAATAACAATTTGAGATTCAGAAAGGACTTTTTTTATTACTGTTTATGTACTTTTTTTGTAATATGGACTTGAGCTGATTATCGGTTTTAAGGTTTACCTAAAATTTTCTGTTATACTATTCCTAATGTATATGTAAAGTTTATTTTTATGTGTTTTGAAACTAATAAAGTCAGCAGAAGTCAACGATTTATTTGAATTATTTAGCCTGACTTTCACTGTTTCAAAATATTATAAATGTTTCCTAAAATAAAATGTATTTTGTTCAATAGGGAAAAAAGTTTTTATTTTTTTAACGTTTTAAAATAACTTATTTTAGAGCAGTAATCACAAACCGCGAAAGCGTGATATTTTTATCCAAGGTTAGCATACCATCAGAAACGTACTGGCCCATTCCTATATGGACTGAATGTTTTAATCATCTCCTAATGATTAAAGTAGATCAAGTATATGTCACTTGATAAATCTCTGTTTTTAAAACCATGATGTGTGCTGCCATCATTTTTATTTCATTGGGAGTATTTTTCCTATAGAGAACTTTTCATTAAAGCATTATGAGCCACGAAACAAACCAGCCCTCAAGAAGTGTAAGTTGAAAGTGTAACTTAAAAATTAAATTCAGACAAAAAGATAAGGATACAAGATTAAGCATTTAAAACATTCTCTCTCTCTCTCTCTCTCTCTCTCTCTCTCTCTCTCTCTCTCTCTCTATATATATATATATATATATATATATATATATATATATATATATATAAGAGAGAGACACAATTTACTTGCTGTGACTGATTGGTGGTATTTTCTACAGCTTTATGCAAAGGATTTTTTTTTTCAACACAAATTTCACTATTAAGCATAATTGTTTAATGTGAATAGTTATATTTGACAAAAAATTAAATTAATTACCACACCTGGGAACTTAAGACAGACCTGTATTTTATCTTGTATATTATCATAAATTTGTAAAAAAATAAAAATAATAAAAATAAAATAAAAAGAATCACAATGTATAAGTGAAGGGTTTTACTTGTTGCACTCTATTCTACAGAACATTTACAGAGTAACAAGTCGTTGCTCTCTCTTTAGGATATGTTTTTCACTAGGAATTTAGCAAACTGATTTGTATGGGCTACATAATTTATTATATATCGGCATATAAATATTTATATCTTCTAATTATTAAGAAGTTGTTACACTATACGTAAAATGAACAGCATTTTCACTTCCAACTTGAACTCTAGTCATCACGACTAACAATGACAGAATAAGACAAGAAATAAAACCACATAAACTGCACAGTGAATAGAACCAGTTAAAGGAAAAGCGTGCATAACAAAAACAATAAACTTTTTACTTTATTACCACTCGAAACACAACACATGAAATAAATTCGGATCTTTAAGAAAACAAAGGTTGTAACAGACTATTACCTCTCGCCTTTTCATATATGAGAAGGTCCGTTCGGGCGAATAAACACACGGACGCATGCCATGTTAATTCCACTTCCCAGACGTTTGTATTAAATGTACCCAAGCTTCAGTCTAAAAACAGACGACGCGTGTGCGAAAGAGCAGGTTTGTCAAGTTCAGTACCACTTCTTACCTCCGCTGCGCCGATGAGTCAGTCAACAGAGCCTCTCCACCGCACGTGCCATTCTGAACCAGAACATTGAGTTCTTGACGCGGGGACCTATTGATCTGAGAAACCAGTGGGAAAAAGGAATATTCTCTTGACTCTAGCCCAAAATATCGACATTAAGGTGATGCTCATATAACCATTCCTTATTGCATGCAGCTCCTCTCATTAGTTTTCATCCCCAATACCCCAATAACTCCATACAAGAAAAGATGTTGGGTATCATTTGTCATTGTGGACTCATTAATGGATTCTGTTTACACGGTTCATTTTTAAAATACTATAGACATGTCATCTATAGGTGTAAATTGCCATATAGTCTATATGTGTAATTTGTGGATTATATATCATCATGAACTGTTTGAACAAATGTGCATTGAGGTTTTTTTAAAGGACCTTTTCTTGATTATACAAATTATTCATTTTCTTTTAAGGCTAAGTATCTGTTATTGGTTTTCTTGATGTATAGTTATTTATTGTATGATGTATTGTAAATGTCTAATATCAGCAAGGACTACAAGTGGTGGAATTGGGGAAATTATGGATACCCTGGCAAACATTTGTTTAGAAAAAAAGTTATCTTTTGATATGTAATTCATTTTATCCATGTTTAATTGCAGGCCTAATGATATATTTACAGGGCTCGTATGGGTGCTGCAATCCTTGAAAATGCTTTCAAGGTGTGGAAAGTTGTTAAATTTTTGATAAAGCACTTGAAGCTGCTTGAAAATGTAATTGTTTTGCTTTAATAATAGTTTACCTTACTAAATAAGTAATCATTTTTAAAAGTTAAAAGTAAAAACATTTAAAAGTTTAAATAAAATAACATTTAAATAAATAAATAAAAAATCTTTTTGGGCTTGGGGCAAACATGCCATTAAAATTGAATAAATAAAAAAGTCAATTTATGGTTGAAATATGCTTTTACTCTGACCTGTACATTTTAAAGTATATAAAAGAAGCAGTGATCATACAAAATGTACATAATTTTAGCTAAAAGACTTTTTTTACTGAGTGGAGGATGAGTCAATATACTGTTCAGTGGTTAATAAGCCACAAGTCACAAATCTTGATCAAAGCCTTGTTCTAAAAATAGTGCATTGTATAATTAAAAGGATATATTTACTCAAGTAGAATCCTGACAGTATAATCCTTCAATGTGTAAACTTTTCACTACCAAATAAGTAACAATTCAAACTGTAATTTTTATAGTTTGAAAATAATTGACATCTACAGTGACTTACATACAGGTTCATTATCAGAAAATTTGAGATT